TTCCTGCTTCTAGATTTAATTCAATTTTTCAACACATGTCTTAAAAATGTGTTGCCCAGGGGACCAGCAGATGGTGTAGTGGTTATGTCACTAAATTTCCACACTGCTGACCAAGATTCAAGTGCCCTAACCACCATGCCACCTGCTAAAACCTCAAATTAAACTTCTAAGAGTTAATTTGAATAACTAGTTTGGGGGCTTAAAAATGGTTTTTGAAAATTTCTGAACTGTTTATAATCTCTTATGGACTTTCTAGTCCCCAGAATGTAAATTACTTCATTGTGATGGTTTGAAAATAAAAGGAAGAGAGAAGGGATATGAATATAAAATAATTAAGGAGAAATATATAGTGATTTTTAAAAACAACATACCAATTAGCTTTCCCCCCATTGGTTATCCACATCTTCTGACCATTAATAACATATTCATCTCCTTTTTTTTCTGCTTTGGTCTTTATACCAGCTACATCAGAACCTGCTCCAGGTTCTGTTACACAGTAGGCCTTGAATATATGGGGAAAAAAAGAAAAAATTAAATGTTAATTATTACATCTTGAACATCTGAAAACAGGATTTATATTTTGTTTTATAAGTCAGTATTTTAAAATATCTGAAATTTAAATACTCTTAGAAAATCAAATAAACTGGGACTAGCAGTTAGTGTAATGGCTATGTCACTGAACTCCCATGTGGCTGACCATGGTTCAACTCTTGGGTCCAGTGGCTTAAACTCACGCTGGGTGCATGTGTGTGTGCGTGCCTAAGATCCCGAGAGGAGAATGGAGGAAAAGGCATTGCAGTGTGGCCATCTCCCCTGGGGGGTGATTTCTCACCTTCCGTCTCTCTATCTCTCTAAAAAAATTAAAAAAATAAAAAAGAAAGAAAATCAAATAAACTGATCTAGTATAAAAACATTACGTATATAAATTAAAATTAGGTGTAAGTATACAAATAAAACATATCAAAGATTAAACCATTAGATGTCTTCAAACAAGTTCAATGAATTCAATTTTGTATGTACTCATTCATTCAAGCATCCACTGAATACTATGTATGAGGCTATCAACTAGGAGATGACAGATACCAGAGACAAAAGACATCTTGTCCTCAGGATTTTCACAATCTAAGAGTAGAGGTAAATAACTACTGTAATTATATGTCTGAATGTGAACATCATACACAAGAAACTTGAGAAATTAGCTTTCCAAGGGGAAGATGTTTATAGTAAGCACTGTAAAGGAAAAGATATCCTATGAGAGGACAGGAAAGGAGGAGGACGTGTATTCCAGGCAGAAGTAATATTACATGCAATAATACCGAGATAAGAAACAGGGTTACCCAATATTTATAATGCTGACAGTACCAGAGTTTCATAACCTGACCTCTGTAAACATAATGGGAATGATAAGACATCAGGCTGAAAATAAAGGAAGGAAACAGATGCCAAAAAACACTGTATCACACCAAGAATTTAAAAATTATATCTGGTGGGGTCAACAGGTGGTGCAGTGGTTAAGGTGCTGGACACTCACATGGCCAACCATGGTTTAAGTCCCAGACCTGGAGGCTTGAAAATCACTCCAAGTGTGTGTGCATGCATGTCAAGAGTCCTGAGAGGGGAATGGAGAAGAAGGAAATGTGGCATGGCCACCTTGTCTTGGGGGGTGATTTCTCACTTTCCCTCTCACTATTTCTCTGTTTCTCTCCAATGAGAGGAAAATGCAAGCAGTATTAGAATAAACTGAGGAGTGAGAGGCAAGCATTAGGTAGCTCAATTTAATTCAAGTTTATCCAGTGGCAGTTCCTTGCCCTTGTTCCTAACCAAGTGGAGCTGTTGCAGGTGTTGACTCCCAGGCACCTATGGTATGAAAACATGAGCTAGATGCTCTTTTGACAGTGGTAGAAGGGACACAGGTGACACATGAGTTAACTGAACTATATTACTCTCCTACCTGGAGAGTCAATGATATATATTCAGTATCTTAAAAAAGTACGGTTTTATACAAATGAACTGCCCAGAAAAGAAAACCTTTCAAAGTACAAAAATTTTGTTTTAACCACCTGAAGAACTATTTTTCCCCTGAAATATGCTACTAGTCATTGTTCTACTTTAATAATACAAAGTTTTCAGAGTGTATCAAGTATACATGCCTGTCTTTTTTGTACAAAATGGCTTATCTCTGCTGGTTCTTCAGAACTCTTCTTGTCTTCTTATTTGATCATTTAATAATAATTAAACTTAATTTTTCTAACCCTCTTTCACAGAAACTTTTCTCCCCTATTGCTACTTGTTCCCTTCTTTGCCATGCTATACAACATGATACAGTATTGCATACAGTGATACAATGGTTGTGTGTTTCTCTTTTATTCTATCGGAGTTTCTTCCCTCTTTTTAATGGCCAGGAAACAGTCCATGCTCACCAGAGGGAAGAGAGGGAGAGAGAGCATCCCCCAACTAGTCATGGTCACACCATAATCCTTTCTCCTCCATTTCTCCTTCCTGTCAGGATTCTAGGTATGCATGAGCACTGTCCCATGTGTCTTTCAAATCATCAGGTCGGGGATTCAAACTGTGGTCAGCAAGGTAGGATACAGATCCCAATGTGCAGCACTTAATCACCTCACTGTGGAGCCCCATATCAGTGCTCCTTGATGGTAGGAATATTACTTATTCCATTGGTATTACTAGTGCCAAATACAAAATGTTTAATAAAATATGTGTCCCTAACATTCGTCATTCTCATTATTCTAACTATTGGATTGCCAGAAAGTCATGACACATTTTGCATAGAAAAACATGTCATGACTTTCCTGACGACATAATAGTTTGATTTACTAATATTCAAATGTTGCCATGCAAACTAGAAAATCGAATCAGTAACACTTTATGTATACTTATTTTTAAATTACTTATTATGCATAATTTTATGTTTAAGTTAACAGATTCTGGGTAGTAATGGTCCACCAGATTATTGATTCCTGTGAGCAGCGATTCAGTCTTATTTGTTATTTTATTCTCAGTCCACCTGGTACAGTACTCAAATATCAAAATGAATATGACATTGTACCTTTCTTTAATTAGTGGTAATACCACCATATTAAATTTTATAGGTTACAAAGCAATTTTGCATTCATGCTGTTTACTTTCTTTTTTGTCATACATTCTGAAGGGGATTGAAATAATTTATATGTTTAAAAACAGATCAGGGTGAAGAGAAAAAAAAGATAAAACCAGAAAGAGGGCTGGCCCCATAGCACAGCAGTCATGAAATGTGCCGTGGAAGCTAGATCCCACGTGGCTGACTGGGGTTTGAATCCTGGCCCTGGCAGCCACACGCCAGGGGCACTGGTACACGCCTAGGATCCTGGTACGAATAGGAGAAAGAAGGATCGTGGTGTGACCAGGCCCATTGAAGGATGCTTTTTGTCTCTCATATACATGTGCTCTGGCATGAATAAAGAAAAAAAAAAAAAAACAGAAAGAAAAGTAATATAAGACAACACATGCTTTGATGTTGTAAGGTTCAAATAATTACTAATGGACTATAATTGGTTCCAAGATTTTATTTACCAAAACAATAAAAAAGTATTAGCTGAATGTGTGAATTACTCAGGTAAAGTCTAGCACAGATTAAGCAACTGAGAAATTGAGTAAATTAGTGAATGAATAACTAGCAGTTAAACAGAAAGAAATTTCTCCCTCATCATTAGGTATGAAAGATATTTCTCTAATATATTTTTGCAAAATGGGCACTTACTGAAGTAAAGATAGAAACATCTTGTTTTATCTTTACTATAACCCTTTCAGATATTATATGCTCTGTTTGCAGAAGAGACTTTGTAGTTAAATGACTGTAGATTATACTGCTCCTAAGCCAAAACTTGAAGCCAGGTCTTAGGATTCTAAGCTCAATGTTGTTTTACTCACATTCCAGTTATTTTTTAGCTCTATGAAAAGCACATGGCTATATAACAAGGTTTTCTTCACCACTGGACTCTTTATAAAGATTTCTGGGTTCCAAGAGTATGTTTTAGACTAATATGTCTTACTGAATGATTTGCCTAATGAGCTCATCCAATAGCCTGATACTTGGTTCTGTCTGATACTACATATTTTTTAAAATAATTATTTTTATATAAGTTTATTTATTGATTTTAATTTTGATAGAGAGAGAGAGAGAGAGAAAAGAGCGAGAGAGAAGTGATAAAGCAAGCCTCTAAGTCCAGGACTCGAACCACGGTTATCCATGTGGTAGTCCAGTGCCCTTAACCACCACGCCACCTGCTGGCCCCACATACTACATATATTTTAATTGCATGTTGCTCTGAAGATATAACACAATTTAAAAAAAAAGAAATATAGTTTCTAAAATCCTTAATCTAATATTGTGTATAAATACAAACACACTTATATATGTGTGTGTGTATGTGTGTATGTATATATATACACATACACACACACATACCTTGATTTAAAAATTTTTTGCCCTGGGGCCAGCAGATAGCATGTTGGTTAAGGCTCTGGACTTTCACATGGCTGACCACTGTCTGAGTCCTGGATCTGGCATCCTGAAAATCACATAGGGCACATGCCCCAAACCTCAAGATGAGAAAAGAGGAAAAGGGATTACTGTGTGACCATACTCACTGGAGGGTGATTTCTCACTTTCCCTCTCACTATATCTCTGTCTTTGGCAAGCAAACGTGCCCTGTGGCAAAAACCTCCTGTCACCTGCTGCCACCCCTTGTTCTCTTCTTAAATATGAAATAAAGCAGGAAGCATGCATACTCACACACATCAATGGCTCCTCAGTCAATCTCCCCAAATACTTTTTTTGTTGTTGATCATTTCCAGCAATAATAATAGGCATTTGCTACAAAGAAAATTGACATTAACAAAGACATTTTTTATTAGATATGTAAATTCAGAGATACCATAATTCAAAACAAAAGATAACTGTATTTACTCCAAGGGGTAAAGTCTAAAGAACTGGCCTTTGGGTCAGCAGATGATGTAGTAGTTTAGGTGCTAGATTCCCACATGGCCAACCACATTTCGAGTTCCAGACCCAGTGGCTTGAAAAATCACACCAGGCACATGTGCATGCATATCCAAAATCCCAGAAGGAGGTATGGTGGTGTGGCCATCCCTCTTGGGGGGACTGATTTCTGACTTTCCCTCTCTCTGGCAAGAGCCTGTGCCCTATGGGAAAAAAATTTAAAAAAAAAAGAAAAGGGACTGGACCTTTACTCTGTCTCTAAGTCAAAGCTTAACCCATGCTCGCTTTGGCAGCACATATACTAAAACTGGACTGATAATAGAGAAGATCAGCATGGCCCCTGTGCAAGGATGATACGCAAATTCATGAAGTGTTCCATATTTTTATGTAGTCAACAACGGTTTGAATCCTGGACCTGGTGGCTTAAACTCACACTGGGAGCGTATGCGTGTGTGCCCAAGATCCCAAGAGGAGACTGGAGAAGGGACTGCGGCATGGCCATCTCCCTTTAAGGGTGATTTCTTGCTTCCCGTCTCTCTGTCTTTTTGGTGAGCCACACGCGCCCTATAGCAAAAAAACTCTCCAAAAAAAAAAAATAATAATAATCTTTAAACCAGGAGGAAAATACATCTTCTAATATAAGTAGTTTTATAAAATTAAATTATATATAGGACTTGTTTGTAATATATGTAAAAAGTTTAGGATCCATGATATCACATATATCAGACCTCTAAGATCAGACATCTGAAGAATTGCTCACTAAATTTCATCACTGACAGAGGTGGCAGCAAGCCATCCTGGTTCTGTTCTTGAATATTGGCTTTAGGGCCTTGCCCTTACCTAAAAATTGCCACTGAAGCTATAGCCAAAGTGGAGAGTTTTCCGACAAAAACAGATAGGATTCCAAGTACTGGAACTGACAAAGCCAAAATGACCAAGCCTTGGAGTCAGAATTCCAGGCTTTACTACCTAATCTTGTGTTCCCTTTGTTTTACCCATTAACTAACCTAGTAGTGTAACTGACTTATAATGATAGCTCAGGGACCAGGAGGTGGCATAATAGTTATGCTACTGGACTCTCATATAGTTGATAACAGTTCGAATCCCAAATCTGGCGGCTTAAAGCAGGTGGCATGGTGGTTAAGGTGCTGGACACTTCCACATGGCTGACCACGGTTCAAGTCCTGGACCTGGTGGCTTGCTTTCTCACTTTCTCTCTCTCCTTCTCTGTCTCTCTCTGGTCAAATTAAAATAAATGAATGAATAAATTTAAAAATTAAAAATAAATAATTAAAAAAAAAACACAAAATAACTCACACTGGGCGCATATGAATGCATGCCCAAAATCCCAAGAGGAGACTGGAGGAAAAGGGGCTGAGGCATGGCCATCCCCCCAGGGAGGTGATTTCTCACTTTCTTTTTCTCTGTCCCTCCCTTTCTCTCTGGTGCATGCGCCCTATAGCAAAAATCTCTTAAAAAAAAAAAAAAAAGACAGGTCAGTGAGGTAATTAATTTCCTGAGTAACTTACCCCCAAAGAATTTGCTTCAATGGCAGTCTGCACCCCTGTACATCCATAAGCCAATTCTTCAGTAATTAAACAAGCGTCAAAAGTTCCAAGTCCGAGACCTCCTACGGTATCAAAATGTTTTTAGAGACCATTGTAATATACAGTACAACTGGAAAGAAATAAAAATGAGCTATTTTAACTACTTCCACAATGATCTAGTTTGTTTTAATGCTGGAAAACACATGGAAGATTGGAGTTCAGCTCCTGGGTCGATCTGTATCTACTAGGCAAACACATATATGCCTGTGAGTCTGACTGGCTAAGAAAAGCCAGAGGAATCATGGCATGAGACCCTATTGAGGGTCTCTCTGTCTCTAATGGGAAAAAAAGTGAAGAAAGCTTACCACAACTCTCTGGAATGTGTGTATTCATTAAACCAAGTTCCCAGGCTCTTTTAATTAGGGGGACAGGGTACTAAAAGAAAAAAAAAAAAAAAAAAAAAAAAAAAAGAAACAGTTACATATTTAAAATATAGACAATGTGATTATGTTATCTTGTGAAAAATGTAAAAGACTTTTCCCTCTTTAAAATGTATATACCTACTTCACCAGTTTTATCATATTCTGCAGCAACTGGAATTATTTCCTCTCTGGCAAATTTACGAGCAGTAGCTTGAAATTCTTTTTGCTGTTCAGTGAACTCTAAAGAAAAGTTATTTAGAAAACATTGAAATAGGACAATGAGTTGAGGAAAAAAGTCCTACGAAGTCAGTTTTTGAAAATTTATATTTACAATGGGGACTTTAACCCTTAATTAACCAGAAAGTAAAAGACCAAACTACATCTTCTGACTAATCACTGTATGATATAAATTAATCTATGTCCGGGACCAGTAGTTGATGTAATGGCTATCGCTGGACTCCCATGCGTCCACAGTGGTTCGAGTCGCGGACCCAATGGCTTAAACTCATGCTGGGCATGTATGCATGTGTGCCCAAGATCCCAAAAGGAGAATGGAGAAGAAAGAACCACAGCATGGCCATCCCCCCTAGAGGGTGATTTCTTGCTTTGTCTCTCTATCTCTCTCTGTCTTTCTGGCGAGTGCATGCGCCCTACAGCAAAAACCTCTTCAAAAAAACCGAATAAATAACAATAAATAAACTCATTAGGTTTTACAACATGAATAATAAATAAAAACTTACAGACATAAAGTGAGTTTTTTTTTCAACTGGTGAGATAAAAAGTATTTTTTAAACTTATTTCTATTTCTAAGCAGATTTATCAAATGTTTACTAACATCAGGTTGTTGAAAAAGTCATGATGCATTTTTGCATAGAAAAATAAGTCACGACTTTTCTGACAACCCAATATATAAGACATGCTCCTGATCTCAAGAATCAATCTAAGACAAGACATGCTCAGTAACCACAAAGCAATAAAACTTGTTTCAAAGTATCATCTAAGAATATCAATATTATAATTTCAATTTTACTCCTCTTTTTGCTTTTTTTTTTTTTGAGAGTTTTGGCGTGTTCAATCGCCAGAGAGACAGAGAGAGAGAGAGAGAGAGAGAGGCAGAAAGTGAGAAATCACTCCCTGGGGGAATGGCCGTGCTACAATCTCTTCTCCTCCATTTTCTTCTCAGGATTTAGGGCGCGCGCACACACACACACGAGCCTGGCCTGAGTTTTAAGCCGCCAGGTCCAGGATTCGAACCACAGTCAACTACAAGGGAGTCCAGCAACATAATCATTATGCCATCTGCTGGTCCCAATTTTACTCCTGTTTTAAATTCAGACAATTTGTTTATAAATTTTCTTTTGAGAGAGATTTTTGCTATAGGGCTTGTGTGTTTGTCGGAAAGACAGAGAGAGACAAAGACAGAAAGCAAGAAGTCACCCCCTACAAGGAGGATGGCTATGCTACAATCCCTTCTTATTCATTCTTTTCTCAGGATTTTGGGCATACAAGCACATATGCCTGGCTGAGTTTTAACCCTTTGAGTCCGGAACTTGAACCACAGTTGACTATGTGGAAGTCCAGCGATGTTACCATTATGCCATTAGCTGATTCCCAATTTGTTTATAAATTAGCACAAAGCAACTGGTAAAAATGGTGGTAAGGTCTCCCTCTCTCAAAAAAAAAAAAAAGAACATAAAACCTTATTGTACTGCTAATAGGTGGTGTCTAAATAATCATTTACATTAAAATTAATTAAATGACTACTGTAGGTAGAATGAGGATAATAAAAGCCAATCACTAATAGCATTTTTTCAAATTCATTCTGTCTTAGCATTTCAATGTTGCAGCCAAAATCAAAAAATAAGTAAAGTTTTAAAGAAGTAAATTATATTTGGGGCACAGCAAAAGCACAGAGGTAAGAATAAGTGAGAATGTTAAAGACTATAGCAATTACTTATATGTGGCTATGAGAAAAAATATAAAAGATAGGAAAATTGGGTGCTGAATTAAACAGCATAAAATCAAATCTCTACTTTATAAATAAGGAGACTAAAGCACAGAATAAGGAAACGATAGACTCATAGTCTTGCAATGAATTAGCAGTATAGAAGTATATTTAAAGTTTCAGTCTAGTGTTTTCTACATTACAACTTTAAGTCTGAGGCGAGTCTATATCAAGCCTGTGGAATGGTAAAGCATAGAGAAGACAGGGATCTATCATGTATTATTTATTGACATACTATTTTCATCCAGTCACTATATACTAGGCACTTTATATATAGCAGTTAGTCTTCAAAGAAATCCTGTGTTATAGATATTCTCCACTTTACAGGTAAAGAAGCATGTACAACTGGCTATTTCTTTACTTGAGCTTCATAATCTCCTTCCCAAACACTTATGTCTACATCGTCCTCTGTCAGTCACCAAATCACTATCTATTTGTCCAGGTAGTCTCTTACTGTTGAGTATAAATTTCTCTTTTTTTTTTCTTTGGAGAGATTTTTTGCTATAGTGTGTGCACTCACCAGAGAGACAGAGATAGAGAAAGTGAGAAATTACCACCCCCCAAGGAGGATGGCCTCGCTGCAATCCCTCTTGGGATTTTGGGCACACATGCGCACATGCCTGGCATGATTTTCAAGTGCCTGGGTCCAAGACTCATGGTAGGACATGCGGGAGTCCAGAACCCTATCCTACCTGCTGGCCTCTGAGTATAAATTTTTTATATGACAAGCTGAACCTAGATAGCAAATCAATGCTAACATCTCAGAAAATAAGAACATTTAGCCCCAAACTGCTATTGTCATACTACATGAAAAATTTTCACTTAATTCTGGTAAACAAAACAAAACAAAACAAAAACTCATAATAAGGGGAAAATCTTGGGCCAGTTGGTGGTGCACTATTAACACAACACTGCAACACTGGACCTGGGAAAGTCCTGTGTTGGCATCCCAAGGCCTCCCACCATATATCAGATACAGACATGTGCACCTGGGCTGGCTGAGCCCAAGCATGGATAGCAATGTGAAGACCCTGTTGGAGGTATCGCTGTCTTTCTCATAGAAAAACTAAGTATTAACCAAAAGATCTTTAAAAATAGAACAAAACCCCAAAAACAATAAGCCTAAAGAGCTTTGAGAGTTATCATTTGTACTTGAGTCTGAGTTAATTATCTCACTTACCTTTATTTTCTGAGACAAAGCAAACTGAGAAAATATGTTTTTAGCTAGAGAATAGGTAGATATTTTAAAGTAAGAAGCTCTTTAGAAGGCAAAGGATGTCAAAAATAAAATTTACTATTCAATTTTTTTGCCCAGGGTTTTCATTTATAAAGGAAAGGGGGAAGAAAATCCTTTTTCCTTTTTATCCTAATACCACATAGTCCCTGGGTTGAAATTTCCATCTAATAAATAGTACCAAAATTGCAGTTCACATACATTAAGACCAAAACAGGCTTTGGCTTATCACCAGACACCTTGCATTATATATCCAATAAAAGTTTTAAGAAGTATTTTTTGCATTCAAACTTAGAAGTTGAAGACTATACACATCAATGAATTTGTTACTTACTTTAGACTATGCACTTAGCTAACCGAGATCTAATGTGTAGGTACTGTGCAGAAGGAAATGAGATCAGGAAGAACAACTGTGACTGTGAACAATCTCTGAAAGGCAACTGATCCTTCTCACTGACAGACATTACTAAGATTGATTAAAAAGATATTCCAGATAAATACATTTAAAGAGCTTTATATGTATGACAAGCATAAGGTCAAAAGATAGAACATAATAGATACCAAAACTAAATCCTAATCCTGGTTCACGGTGTAGATTGACTTTTGTATGTTGTGATCTCCAGTCAAAACGAGAAATACTCCTCAGGACCTGCAAAGGATAATTTCATTAAAATAAATTTGATAAATTAAACATCAATCAAATAATACTGAAAAATATGTGATATGTGACTATGGTAACTTATTTGGCCATATGCAAGTGCATTATTTTGTGATTGGGGGAGTTAGAGAGATTTTTGCTATTGGGCACATGTGCTCGCCACAGAGAAAGAGACAGAGAAACAGAAAATGAGAAAACAGTCCCCAGGGGGAATGGCCATGCCACAGGTTCCTCTCCTCTATTTTCCTCTTGGGATTTTGGGCGCACACACACACACACACACACACACACACATGTGCCCCATGTGAGTTTTAAGCCACTGGGTCTGGAATCAGAACTGTGGATTACGTGGGAATCCAGGGACATAACCATTACGCCATCTGCTGCTCCTGCAAGCACTTTTTTTAAGATTTAATTTTAATTATTATTACTATTGTTTTTTAATCTGCTATGGGGCACATGTGCTCACAGAGGGAGAGAGAAAGAGAGAAAGCAAGCCACCAGGTTTGGGACTTGAACCCCATCAGCCATGTGGGAGTCCTGCACTCTAACCACCATACCACCTGTTGGCCCTGAAAATGCATAGTTCTTAAATTTATCATTACGTAAATGCTTTCAACCATCATTTAACTTTTAAAAGTCAATTACTGATTATTTGGAGATAGAAGAGATTTTTTTTTAAACTAATGAAGATAAAACTAATCTGTATCGGTATTACTAAAGTAGATGGGGAAGTAGTATACTTAGGACTATTCTGGAAAGCTCACCTATAAGCTCCTAGGATACTGGCTATTCTGAAGTGGGAGTGAAGAAAAACAGGATGGGATTTTACTGTGTTGAAGAATTACCTAGTCCATCAGCTTTGATATCCTGTTCCTGTAAGCCTCGAAAGTACATCTCTGGTAATCATCCCCTTGGAGGATTCTATTTCTTAAGAAACCTGACTCTATATAACAAATGAGCACAAAGGCATGTTCTATATTTTCTGCTATTGTCTATTGGCATTCTTTTTTTTTTTTTTTTTTAGGTTTTTCTTATAATGTGTGTGCACTCATGAGAGAGACAACAAAGAGGGAAAGTGAGAATTCACCTAGGTGATTTCCACTGGGGGAGCGGGGGGGCCACACAGCAATCCCTTCTCCTCTATCTTCCTCTGGGATTTGGGGCATGTTCGCACATGTGCCTAGTGTGTTTTCAGGCTGCTGGGTCCAGGCCTCAAACCAGTCACCATGTGGGAGTCCAGCCGCCTCTAAGTCAACCACACCATCTACTGGCCCCAAACTATGGGCATTGTTACAGTGTTCTAATCCAGGGGTCAACAACCTATGCCAGTCACTAGTAATACAGACATACCATATCATTTATTGCTGCTTTCACATCAGCACTGTGTGGTTGCCACAGAGACCACATGGTCCACAAAGCCAACAATATTAAAAAACATAGTCCAAGGGGCCAGCAGATGGCATAGTGGTTACATTGCTGGACTCCCACATGGTAGACTGTGGTTCAAATACTAGACCTGATGGTTTGAAAATCATGCCAGACACATAAACATCTGTGCCCAAAATCCTGAGAGAAAAATGGAGGAGAAGAAATTGTGGTGTGGCCATCCAGCCTGGGTTGGGGGGTGATTTCTCACTTTCCTCTCACTGTCTCTGTCTCTTTCTCTCTGGCAAGCACATATGCCCTAAAGTAAAAACCTCTTTAAAAAATGAAAAAATAAAATCCAGATAAACACTTAAAAGAGTTTCATGTATATAACAAGTCTGTCCACTCTTTTCTAAAGCACTATTTGTCTTAATATCTGAAATATTTATATTTCTATATTTATCCATAAAGATATATACAAAATATAATCAGAAAATACATATATTGTTGCTTTGCCTTTTTTCATTTTTTTTTTCTTTTTTAATTTTTTTGCTATAGGTGCATGCACTGGTGGGGCAGAGAGAGAAGGAAAGTGAGAAATCACTCCTCAGGAGGGATGGTCTTGCTGTACCCCTTCTCCTCCATTTTCCTCTCAGGATTTTGGGCCTCCACACACATGCACCCAGTGTGTTTTTAGGCTGCCGGGTTCAGGACTTAAACCACGTGGTCGGCCACATATGATCCAGCTGCCTTAACAATCACACCACCTGCTGATCTCGTGACCTATTTTCATATTCATGAGTTGTTTTTATTTTATTTTATTTATTCATTTACTTATGTCTTAATGTAACCAGAGAGCGAGTAGGGAAGTGAGAAAGCAAACTACCAAGTCCAGGATTCAAACCGTGGTCAGCCTTGTGGGAGTGTCCAGCACCTTAACCACCATGCCACCTGCTGGTCTCCATTTGCGTTTGTTTTTTAAATACAGGGTAACCCTGTGGGGATCCTGACAAGAGATTAATAAACAGAATATAGGAGGAAGTTGAACAACTCAGCAGCAGCAAATAATAATAATGACCTGATTTTAAAATGTGCAAATGGGACCAGCCTATGGTCTGGAGGTTAAGGTGGCTAGATCTCACATAGCTGATTGCACAGTTCAAGTCCTGAACCATGTGTGCACACACATGCCACAAATCCCAACAGGGTAGAGAAATGGAGAAGAGACTGGGCATGACTATTCCCCATGGTGAGTGCTTTTCCCTTTCCTTCTCTCTCTGGCAAGCACACCTACCTCTTGCAAATTTTCAATAAAGGGGTAGGGAGAGATGACCTGAACAAACAGTTCTCAAAAGAAGACAAAGAGCCAACGAACACATGAAAAGATGCTCAGCACCAGGACCAGCAGTTAGCGTAATGGTTATTGAACTCCCATGTAGTTGACCGCGATTCAAGTCCCGGACCCAGTGGCTTAAACTCACACCAGGCAAATGTGCATGCGTGCCCAAGATCTCAAGAGGAGAATGAAGAAGGGATTGTGGCATGGCCATCTCCCCTGGGGAGTGATATCTCGCTTTCTGTCTCTTTGTCTCTGTTTTTCTGGTGAGCGCACGCGCCCTATAGCAAAAACCTACCGCCCCCCCCCAAAAAAAATGCTCAGCACTAATCTTTAGGGGAAGGCAAACCAAAACCATAATGAGATGACATCTCACTCCAGTTAAAATGACTAATATAAAATATCAAATAGAAGGATATAATCAATGTAAGGATGAAGAGAACAGGGTTCTCTTTTAGTGTTGGTGGGAATATAAATTAGTATAACTATTATGGAAAACAGTATGGCGATTCCCCTACAGAGATTCCTCAAGAAACTACAAAAACAAACAAACAAACAAAAACAACTGCCATGATCTGGTGAATCCACTACTTGGCATTATCTGTCTATATTCAAAGGAAAGGAAATCAGTATGTTACAAAAGTATCTATACCCCAAAATATTCTGGATTACAGTCACTTATGCATATTAATTCACTGAATCCCAGGTTAAGCCTAGGATTAAGGCACTATTTTTATTAACATTTTGCATATGAAGAAAGTGAGGCTCTGAAAGATCAAGAAGAATTAGTCAAGGTCACTTTGTTCACAGGCATTGGAACCAGGATTGTAAATCTTAATATTTATTATGAAGACTCCATGCTAAAAATCACCTACACTGTTCTTCCAATTAATCTTCTCAGTTGCTCGTTAGCTCCTGTAATGACGAACCATAAAGCCTCCAAATCAGATCAAAATGTATACTTAAACAATAATGCATAAAAATGACACCTCGCAAACACAGGTAAAATGGTCTGCTGAGAAACTTTAAACGGGATTATTTCAATGGATTCAAAATGCTATGGCCAGGAAACAATGCCCATTAACCTGTTAATTACATAATAACTTCAGCTATTTAATAAGAAAGGTGGCTTAGTAGAAATAAAATACAGAATTAGTGGAAGATTTGTAGTGAGAATCACTGATTTTGAGTCAAGGTTCTGCCACTATTTCTGTGACCTTGGACAGTTACAAACTTCTTACAATTTTTATTCAAGCCTAGGAAATAGAGCCAATTTCACCAGGTAATTTAGGATAATTAAAATAAGATGTTTTAAAAGCTTAATGTCATATAAATACTGGTTTTATTACTTCCAGTTCTGTGCCCAGAACAATGGGATTCTAAATATCCAACTGACAGCAAGTTTATTCATCCATCAATTCAGCAATAATAGTGCCATTACAATTAAACACTTTGGCATATTTCTTTAAAATGTGGGAGTCTTACGGGAGTGTCTAAGAAAAAATGAAGTTTATAAACTTTTTTCCAGATCCTTCCTTGGAAAGATTGAGAAATCTCTCTCTCACTCTCTTTTTTATCTGGTGTCAGAGTTAAAAACAACTTTATTCCTCCAACTTTTGCCTTCAGGACCCATTATACCATATAACAACGGCAAAAATTGGTTAACGACTTATTTTGAGGATTCAAAGTACACTTTGCTTTCAACTGCTGGACTAAAGTCATCCTGATTATCCTAAATTCTAAAACTGCAGTCTTTTTGGTCAAAGACATAACTTTACATCCATTTTAAAAGACATACCAATAATATTTAAGATACTGAAATGCATGTAGAGACTGAAACATATTTAGAATCTGTAACACAATACTAGCATAGACAAGTTTCATGAAAAGTTCTGCAGTGGGATTTCTTTTTTTAACGTAGGCCACGACTTCCTCCATAACACAAAGCAGAGGCGTATAAAATATATTAAGTAACCCACGGAGTGGCTGTACCCTTTTCCCTGTCCCTGTGATTTCACAGGCATCCAAGATAAAGACTATCTAATTCTGGAACTTTCAATACAGATAACTGCAGAATGACATCTACTTTACGATTTCCTTACTGGGCTGGGGATAGAGGGCGGGTAGGAAAAGCGTATTCTTGAAGAGATACTAAACCAGTTATGCAAAACCCGGGCCAGGCTTCAGACACCCCGCCTAATTATAGACGGGTTCACTTCGGAAAGGGGTTAGATTTCTGGGGGAAATATTTGGAGGGTTCCAGGTCCAGAAAAAAGCAAGCAAGCATATTCTGAAGGTAGGATTCGGAAAAGTGAAACCCCAGGACATGTCCTGTAGTGTCTTGAGGAGAGGATAGGCAAGACAACAGGCGAGGGTCCGAAACCCCGCATCGCTTCTTCGAGCGCGGGGGAGGAGGGCCTAGGCATCCCAAAGCAGGCGCCTTCCTCAGCCCGGCTTCCTACTTCCCAGCATGCGGGCGGCACCTACTTTCCGCCCGAGTCCCAGGGTTCAAACGCCGCAAAGCCCACGCCCAGTCCCACCGCAGCCCTGGGCTCGCTCTCACCCCGCAGCTTCTCCTGAACCCTGCGGCCATGTCTGCTCCCGTAACACGCTAACCCACTGACCGCCGCCGAGACTGCCTATTTCCCTAGGCGCGCAGGACCTATCAGGCCCCGCCCACTGGGGCGTGGGCGGAGCCTGGTGCTGGGCTAG